TACCAAGATTACATCAACGATTAGAATCAACATACAAGATGAGATTACTATTTAACCGAGATTACCAGCTTCCAGTACACTAGATTTGACATAATCTTCATCATTCTCGTTGAAATTCTCAGCTGTGCTTCCAGTACCGTCAGAATGCGAGCTGAAAAGACATTGTATACTCTTAAACCTCCGAAGATGGACCCGGACAGTGACTGTAGCATTCTGAGACTTGACATTTCTGGTCCGATGACCCAAGAATTGGTTTCTGAGGAGCCTAGGTTTCGAAACAGAGCAGTTGACAAGTGAAGCAGAGACACACGATTGTCTGGGACTAACACTAGGGCAAACAATTGGTGCTTGAAGCGACCTCATCTTTCCTCTTTTGACACAGAACCCAGCCAAATTCAATGGTAAAAATGAAAAAATTTAGTATCAAAACATGTAAACATATCGATTCCCAAAATCACAAACCAATTCCAAAAATAGTAACTCCTTTACTTGAATGGATTCACAAATCACAATTCGATATAGAAAATCACTGATCCCACACAAACTTACAGCAACTAACTTGACTAATTTCAAAAATGCACTACAAAAGATCACACAAAACAAAAATAACAATCGGTGTATTCTAGATCAAAATTAGTGAAAACTATAATTTATATTATCCAGTAGCTTCATCTGTGCAATAAGCAGATAGCCGATTATCGAAATACCAAAAGTAGTTGGGAATTTTACCTTAAAATATCGTAGGAATCGATTGGATTAGATCAGCAGAGGACTAAAGGAAGTATTCCAGTACAGACAGATCAACAAAGACCTAGATAACAGAGAGAGAGAGAGATTATTTCTCTGTCAGATTTATCAGACTCATGTTTGCCTCAGTTGACGAATTTACCCTTTTCACCAACTTCTTGCATTTTTTTTTTTTTTGCTAATGTTCGTGGAGATTGGAGAAGGACAAAATTGAGAATTAAGGTGTATACTCGTAATGACGTGAATTGTTAAACTCGTAAAAAACTGACAAGTCATCAAGTAACAGACGCCGAATAAATTAAGCCTAAATGGACGCCACGTGTACGGCGCCTGTGTCAGGGATGGTTATGGATAAGGTTTTTGGATAAATCTACTACACTAGACGGGAGGGTGACGTTCGTGGGATTTGGGAGACTGTGTTTTGTATGTTGGAAGTCAACGCACTAATATGGGCTTAGGCCCATTTAAATATTAATCGGCCCAAAGTTTTATAGGCTTCACCGGCTGAGACTGTATACACATGTTAAGTTCGTGAGGACACACTTTTCTTGATAATCACGAACTCTCTCTCTCTCCAGCCTTTTTCTCTCTCCTCTTCTTCTTTTTCATCACCAATGGACGAGAAAAGATCATCGAAGAAACGAGAAAAACGCAGAAAACGCAACAAAGCCAAAGCCATTTGCCGTGAAACTGGAGACCACGTTCATTACCCTCCGACGCGCCCACCAAAATCCACGCGTCCTCGTCACGCGCCGTCACCGATCCTCGAATCTATCTTCCAACTTGCTCGCAAGTCACGCTACGGAGAATGCGTGAAGAATCAGGCCTCCGGCATCGGAACCACCGCCTACGACGGCTGCGGCGAGTTCGTTAGCGCCACCGCTGGAGAAGATTCTATGAATTGCGCTGCATGCGGCTGCCACCGTAGCTTCCACCGGGAAGAATCACTTTCCGGAGGAATCCTTGAAGAGCTAAATCTTACTCCGCATCAGTTTCGCCAGATCTTCTGCTCCCCTTACGGCGAGAGAAAGGACGAAGGTAAGAAGCGGATCGTGATGGATCGATCGGGCGGCGACGATTTAGTGGAGGAAGGGGAAGGGAGAGTGAAGAGGTTGAAGACGAAGTTCACGGCGGAGCAGACTGAGAAGATGAGGAACTATGCGGAGAAGCTGCGGTGGAAAGTGAGCCCTGAGAGTAGAGAGGCAGTTGAGAAATTCTGCGTTGAGATTGGAGTTAACCGGAAAAAAATTATGGTTTGGATGAACAATCACAAGGATAAAAATTGATGATGACTACTACATTCCAATGGTGTTGCTTATTTTTTCTTTGTTTCATTTTATTTTGTATATGTGTTTAGGTGTGTGATGTATGAACATGATGTTTTCATATCATTTTGTTATAAGAAAACCAGAGATCTTAGATTATCTATGTATATACATGTTTAGTCTGTGAGGACACACTTCTCGTTTGACTTGGCAAACCAGGAAATCAACCTTCATTAGTAGGATACTTTTAATATACAAGTTTCTAAAATGAATAGAAAAATGTGGCATCAAAATGGTCATTTTGCGTGACCTAGCGTAAGAATGCAAATGTACATGTAGAGAAGCATATGCATCCATAGCCACAGTTCTTACGTGTTGATTTACTTCATTGCTCAACTAATTGGGCCTATTTCAATTATCTAACCATAGAGAGTATCGATGTAGAAGAATAATTCATGGAAATAGCCACAAATATATATTAATGTTGACCCCGTCGCGACTTAAAATGTACAAGAAAACCAAAAACATTGGATTAGCATTTGGACAGGCCACATAAAACACGTAAGAACTGGGGGATTGCTGAGAAGGCAGAGGACAGTAAGTGGAGTTTCTGTCATTTTCTTACTGCGCTACGGTGAAAATTTAAGATGGTAAGAGTATGTACATCAGGGGATCAAGAGTGGTTCATGGTACAGTTTTTGAGACAAAAGAACTTAATTTTAAAGAGACAATATCATTTCGACGAATCTGAAGAGACGGTATCATTCCGAAATAGAGCATTCTGATTGGTCGAAAATTAAAATTTTCGAATTAAATAATAAAAAAATAAAATAAAATAAAATATTATTATATTTTGGTGAACCCTCTCTGATATGTACATGTTCTAAGGAGCACAAGGTATAAAGATTCTAAGGAGCACAAGATATAAAGAGATCAAAATTTGGGATGATGGTTCCAAAGTCATAGGGTTCTTTTGTGAGAAGACAAACTATAACGTTAGCTACTTAGCTAGCAAAAGTTACCACAAAAAAAAAGCAATGGGTAATTCCACTTTTCCGATTTTATTGAATTATTTGTTCTTTGTAGATTTACATGGCCTTGTAGTAAACTCAGTTGTCTTTGTAAGTTCAAATTGATTGGTAATTTACAATAAGTAGGCATTTTACACTATGAAATTATATTTTAGTATATAATTGACATATGTTGTATTTTCTGAATAATAGTTGTTACAGAGTCAATTTTGCATGACGCAATTCCTTTCATCGTCTGGTGACTGGTGGTCATTACCCATGTGAAACTCTGGCGTAAAATGACCACCACACACACACCTCGTCATAGACGTTATACATACTGACAATATCTATAAAGACCATTTCGTCGCCACAATACAAACAAAACGTTTTTTTAATGTGTTTCCTCCATTCATCGAACTTGTATTTAAGATTTTTAACATACAATGAATCTATACGGACCATCTCGTCGCCACATTACAAACAAACAAAATCTTAAATTTGTTTCTGTCTCCGTTTTATAACACTTGTTATCAAGGTTCTTTACACACAAGCAATTCAACAATATAGAGCACTACTTGTGGACCTTTGTTTAGAGTCTCTCATATCTGTCATTTTGATCTCATTCAAATGCTTATCTTCATATTCATATGATGATATAGAAAGACGAACACTTCTTTTCATCTAAACCATTTTTTTTTTTTCACATACTATAATCATCTATAATCTTTATATATGGTATTGGAATTCCAAATGCAACTTGGCAGCATTTTTCTAATGATTTGGAGAATAAATATCAATACGTTTATTCAAAGTTTTGAGCCACTCTGATACAAATACATGTACTGCTGGTGCACATAAGCACCAATCTAGACGAAGTAGCCCGAAGCCTCTTCCAGCTCCGGCAAAGGATCAAGCGTCACCGGAGAGGCAGAAGGATCCTTCAGAATCTCTCGAATCTCCGATTTGTGACCCCATAAACTATACCTGAGAAATGCAACCACAATACCTCCCACAAATCTCCTCATCTCACTCTTTTTTCGTTTCCCGTTCTTACACATACAACCCGCCATAAACCCGACAAAACCGGGCAAATCATCGTCCAACATATCCATATGTCCATAATCAGCAGCCACGAAATGTCCCTTGGTGGCCTTACACTCTTTATAAAACTCCTCATGGTTCACTTCCGCTGGTGCGCATGGTGGCATCATCCCGTTACTCTTGGGTCCGAGACCCGTCCCGACCACTGCAACCGGTATGTCTATCTCGAAGGATTCCGGTTTATACGTTAAGATTTCCGGATCGGTTCTCATGCATTTGCTGATTCCTGCTACCGGGTCGATTCCTATGAGAGCTGAAAATTTGAAGGATGTGTCTAATGTTGCGGCATGGCCTAAAGCAACCGCAAACGCGGTTTTGCCACCGCGGCTATGGCCCACGAGTGCGGTGTATTTGCCATTAGCGTTTACGGAGTTTGGGAGGTGAGCTTTGAGGTTTTCCGATGCCCAGTTTATCACTTTTCCAGCATCGTCCACTTCCACTTGCCCTCCCGGCGGCAAAATCTTGCACAACTGTCGTTTCAGGAAAAAAACAAGTAAATTAATTTAAACATGTATTAGCCTATGATAAATTCACGTAACAACAAATAGAATCAATGATGTCATTTATATCCATATACGTTTATATAATTGAACTATTATAAAATAAATGTATAAATATATATTTTTATATCCATATACGTTTATATAATTGAACTATTATATAATTGACACTAGAATACATTATTTTTCTACATAAGCATATATATATATATATAGATATATACCTGTGGGGCTACAAGAATGTAGCCATGAGAAGCGACGTGGTTAAGAACATCAGAGTAGAAGTAGTTGCGAAGATAAAATCCATGGAAGAATAAGACGACGGGGTAACTTCCGGCAACTGTTGGGGAGGTGATTCTCACCGGCTTAGGCGGCGCCGTCGAATCGGTTTTCGAAGGATCCGCCGTGATCACGGTGGTCGGAAGGCTGCCTCTCTCAAACGCCACCGGAGTTGCCGCCGAGAAAAACGTCTCATTGTCATCCATCGCCGCCATTTTTTTGTATATAGGAAAAAAAGTGTGTTAGACTTAGAATTTGAATGATGAATCTCTCGAGCCTCTAGTTGTTACTATATATATAGGAGTGGGGACTATGTTAATATTTGTTAATATTTCTTATCCATTTGTATTATGTGGTTCTTGGCTTCTCGTAATAAATTTAACAAATTATTTAAACATTTGTGAAACCGACAAATTGCAAAAGAGCACGTGATTTTGAACTTCCAATTGTTACAAGTTAGTTACACAAATATTCTATCATAGTGACTTCTGTAGACTTCTGTGTAGATTAAAAATAAGCGAGGGAAAAATATTTAATCAGACACAACAACAATATCAACCATATTTCCATTAGCATACAACGGTGTTATGAATGAATCTATGATATATTATAGATGCCCACCCCTAATATAGATATGTTTATGAATTTTTTTGTTTGTTTGTATGGTATGATTCTCCAATACCATAGTTTTGAATTTTGAGAATTCTTTAATTTGGAACGTATAATTTCTGAAATTACATCGAAGAAGAGCTTTCTGTCTAACATCTTAAAAGATGAAAAAAAATTTTCCATTGATAACACCATTAGCACTCTTAAAACTGATTAGCAACATTTTTTTTGTTTTTGTTCGGGGCTTAAAAAGGGTTGTCCATCTTGTCGACTATGCTTGGCAATCCCGACTTGTACGAAGGATACATCAACTTCACTCCTAGTTTATTCTTCATATGTTCGTTACGGACTCGTTTCTCGCCTCTCAATGAACTTTCCTCCTGAGATTCATACAGAAATGGTTTTGTTTCGATCTTTACCGCCCAGCGTTTTTCAATCAACTTCAAGGCATATTCAAACACCTCTTCTCTTGGTGCTGGATCATCATCAACGATGTTGTAGATCTCCTCCCTGCGATAACGGTTGAATCATCAGCCTCAAATGAATAGTCATATTTTGATCTCACAAACAGAACATGAAGAAGGATAACATATATACCCTGATGATGTTGGCTTTTTAATGGCGGCTTGAAGAGCTTGGCATATATCTTCAACATGGACTCTCGAAGTGAATCTCCGGGACGCTCTTCTCTTTTGACTTTCAGACAAATGCTGCCGCTTTAACAACGTATCAATCGCACTGCAGCAAGAAAAATTCCCCTTTTTTAACCAGTTTTATTTTTGGCACTAAGAGGCACAATCAGAAGGTGTGAACAAACCTTCGACCAGGTCCATAGATACCTCCAAGTCGAAGGATTTGAGTCGAAATCCCAAGATCACGACCCAAGCTTAACCATCCTTCCTCTGCAGCTAACCTCAGTTTGGCTGTCTGAGTTTTAGGATTTGGGGGATCACTGCAATGGAACGGCCTTAGAGTCACAATCTTAACCTTATTATGAGTAAAAAAGAAGATATGATATCTAGATTAAAAATAAACTTACTCCTCATTGACCCAAGCACCACCATAATCTCCATACACACCTGCAAGGGAATCAGCATAATAAAGTGGTTGATCAGAAGAAGAAGGGGAAATGCAGGTTCCAGTCTACGGTGAAAGGAAAAACATTGATGTACTGAGGAAAGGAAAAGGGATATACTTGTCGATGAGAGATAACAAAGCCATCGTAGATTTCCACTAGTAAGCTTGTCTCTGACAAGTTCGACAATCCGCAACATCTTTTTGGAAATGATATCAACAAAGATAAGTTTTTGTCAGTTAGGCAGACATCAAACATTGATATACCATAAAATCTGAGGAAGAAGCAGATTTTTGGCAAACCGGATCACCAATGCCTGCTAAAGGTGGAATGGAAACGAGCAGGTGCGTGTAATCTTTCACTGTTTCAAGCACACTCCATCTGATTACGAAGGAAACAAAAGAGTTTAAGAAACAGTTTCAGATTCAGAGATCACCACCATAGAAGACAATCGTGGAACTGCTGATTAAAAAGAAAAACCTTACTCAGGTGAATCTGCAGAAAATAGCTGAAGATTGATTCCTCTCTTCTCCCATTCTTTCTTCTTCGAATTACTCCTGCAAGTCCCTGAAACCACCCTAAACCATCACACCATTAACCCCCAAAATGTTAGATCTCTTCTTCTCAAATTTGTGAAAAGAGCTCAATCTTCAATAGCAATTTTGGTCCTATGCATAGACGAAATATTATCGAATTTGAAACCATCATATGAGCCTAGCCAAGACAAAAAATATCCACAAGGTCGTCGTTTTCCACTAAAAACTAGAATCGGAGAAAGAGGAAAGAGAGAGAGAAGGAGAGAAGCTGATATCAAACCAGTCTGCTTCTTTGAGCTGTTGCGCAAAAAAGCCTCCGACGTATCCCATCCCGAGAATGCATATCCGGTTCCGGGATTCTGAATCTGGTGTACCGGATCTAGAATCGGCGATTGCTGACAACGGCCGGAAAGTTTTGATTCGACTACGATTTGGAAGATTCAGTGGTATCGGAGAAAAACGGAAAGGAAGCTCCGGCGAAGACCTTGGTAACTGCAAAACCTCCATTGAAACCGGAGGACTGATAGTCCGAGCCTCCGAGGTCTTCGTACTTGACACTGATTCGCAGTGACTAAGAAACTACGTGCCGTTTGGAGTAACATAGTAAAAGAAGATGAGCTTAAGCGCAGTTTTGTTTCCAAAATTTGGAACAGCATGCCGTTTGTGCAATCCAGCGATATATAATGGCACAGGTCAAAGTCGAATGTGAAGAAAACAACTAGACTTTCGGAGATGACTCTGGTACCGTGAGAAATCAAGAACGGCGCTAGAGAAGTTGTTCTTTTTGTTTTTTCATAGACTTAAAAATCTTGCCTTTCTATATGTACACATGTCTATAAGGGATATGACTAAATCTAAGGGATATAGAAACATGCATATTTACAAATACTGTATACGATTATGTATAATAGAATCTTGAAATCTTGAAACATTCATTGTCTCAAGTACGAAAGAAGATTATACAGACTCATATTCTCAAGACCAGGAACTTCCAAGCCAACAAAACTTGTTATTCAAATATGAAAATCAAATTTTTATCTCCATTCAGAATGGAACGATATTCACACTTCTGCAACTCCAAGTATACTTTATAGTTTATACCACCGTAAATCTTATACACACATATCAAATATTTGGCGTTACAAGTGTACTATACACAAAAGCAACCTACACCTCTACTTTATATGCCACAGATATGGGTGTATAATATGCCTAACTATAAAAATGCAAAAAGCACCTTTCTTGTGCTTCAAGAATCATGTCCTCTGTTCCAAGAACGATAGTATCAAACAACGAAGTCGTGCAAGTGATGGGCATTTGAGAATCTGCTGTCTTGCTGGTTGTTTCCGCCAATGTAACGGTAATCATCCAGACCAAACCCGTGATAGTTCATCAGAGTATCGTAATCCGCTGAACGGTTCATCTGTTGTTGTTGTTGTGGTGGCTCACCATCATTGCCTGAAACACGGTCTGGTTTAGCTTCTGATGAGAATCCAATGTTTGTCGTGTCTGCGGATGAATAAGTGAGATTGTTATTGTTGTTGTTGCTCTCCTGCTGCTGCTGCTGCGAAGAGGAGTCTTCTTGGTTTGTGCTGTTGGGTTCTTGAGAAGACTTGGAGATTAGTAACTCAGACTCACCACCAAACTCTTCTTTGTACATCTCTTCGATCATCGGTTTCCATAGACGAACTCTCGCGTTTATGAACCAATTAGCAACCTAAATACAGAGCAGAAACTAGACTGACTCAAGCAGAACTCAAAGATTGCAACTTTAAAGCAAGACAAAAAGCTATAAATTGTACCTGGTTTTTCGACAGTCCTGTCTGTTTCGCAAGCATGACTTTCTCAGATTCTTTCGGGTATCTACAGTTAACAACCATACGAAAACATAAAGTCTCTTGAATGTTCTGTAATGGGTAACTGAAAAGGTCTTAACTTGTGAGAGAAGAAGAAGACACATACGGATGAAGGAAATGTTCGAAGAGCCAAGCGCGAAGAGCAGAGACAGAGTTTTCAGGGAGACCTCTTTGTGGTCTCCAAGCGGGTCGAACCATTCCAAGCTGTTGATGCAAAGCTCTTTGCTGTCTCAACCGTTGATCTAAATACCTCAGTCTTGGTATTCTCTCTCCTTGTTGCTCATCCAACGACTCTCCTCCTTTCTCTCCAAGTTTTTCTCTGATGATCTGAATTTGTTCCTTTATAGTGTCACGAAGGGAGCGGAAATGGCAAGAGATTCTGTTGAGAGCGACTGATGTGTAAGGCTTAGCCGATCCAAGTCCTGCTACTATCTCAAATGATGAAGCTAATGCTTCCATTTGGTGGTAATATTGGTTATACCTTTTATCTACCTGCAAGCATTAACACAACCACAACAAGCAAAGCATCCTCATTAACTCTCTCAAACCAATCCAAAATCGAATTGAAATATACAATCGGAAAACAAAACCAAAGAGGACATACCATAAACAATTTTTTTTTTCATGTTCTAATAAACCATAAACGAAACAGAACTATGCTTGAAAAGATAATAATCCGATTAAAAGTTTAAGTTCTATGAGAAATCCTCTATATTAAGGTCGAAATTCTTCACAAGATTGAGAGATGTAAGTTAGTTAAATAACTACCTCATCAACCATTGTCAAAAGCTTGTTCTTCTTGTTCTGAAGTTCTTGACGTTCAGTTATAGATAATTCTATTGATTTCGCGTTCGAATCACTCGATAACTCGGCACTGCCTCCTCCTCCTCCTCCTCCTTCTGTCTCCTTGGAACCATTGTTAAAGTCTTCACCTTTCTTCTTCTTCCTCATCTGGTTTAGTTCTTTCTTGACACTAACCACTTCATCGAGCAGATTTTGAGCCGGTTTAAGATACTGAGAACGCAAAACGCTGCTCATAAACCCTCCTCCTGCTGCTTCGTTATACCGATAATGGTTGTAGAACCCAATCCCGCCATTACCGCCACCATAACCAGAGGAAGGATCAGATTGACCCAACAACAACATCTCTTTGCTTTTCACACCGATCTCATCCACGTTAAACGGAGTCGTTTCCTTGACTGAGATTGAAGGGTTTTGGGTGAAACCCAATTGGTATTGATGATAGTGAAACGAAGGAACAGAGATTTGAGTCCCGAGGCTTAGAGACAGTCCTTGACCGTCGTGAAAGCTTAGATCGCTGCTCGAAACGGCACCGTTTCCAGCAACTTCTCCGTTGAGATTTTGAAGATTCGTTACGACGTCTCCAGTGGTGGGTGGGATAAAGACCATCTCGTTTCGAGCATTATCTCCGACGAAAGATGCGGCGGCCGAGGAAGAAGAAGCTTGTTGTTGCTGTTGTTGTTGTTGTTGATGGTTGAGATAGATTGGTTCTTGCTGGTAACAGTTGACATTACTTGGGTAATAAACCGCCATGGTGGCTTTTCGTTTATCAACAGCTTTTTTTGTAAGGTGACTTGTAGGAGTTTGATTACAGTAAGGTCTAGTTCAATTAATTTGGTCGGAAAATGAGATCCTGCAGACAAAAAAAAAAACAGAGGAAGAGTCGTGTAAGGTGGGAATTTTTTAAAAAGTGTCTCGAGAAATCTGAGAGATAGGTTGAAACATCGTAATCCTTCATACCAAACAATTTTATCATTAACAGTTTCGAAAGCAACAAACAGAGAAGAGCATTCGGACAAAAAGATTCCGAGGATTAAAGTCAAATTCTTGATAAAGCAAATGCTTTCCGTCAAGAACTGAAGAAACCCAGAAAAAAAAACCCAATTCAGGGAAATAGCAAACCCGAGCTATCGAGATTTAATTGAAAATAAAGAAACCCTAATTCGAAGATGAAAAAACAAAAAATGCAGAGTGGATTAAGTTATGTAGCTTAGCTCAGTGACTCAAAAAGAAGAGAAGATCAATTATTACATATAGAAAGGTAAAGTGTTTTTGATGATTTCATCTACATAGGAGAATTTCCAAAAAGGAAGGAAGGGAGAAAATAGATAACAGAAAGTAAACAAGATATACAGTACAGATCAATCATAGAGAATCAAGAATCAAGAATCAAGAACCAAGAACTTGGATTAAAGTAAAAGAGAAACTACCTGAGGGAGAAATGAAACTTTAAAAGCCCTAGAAAAAGAGAGAGATTGTTGTGAGTGTGGATGTGGCTATATCAGGTAACCCAAAGGAGACGAGTATCGAACAGTCGAAGACAAAAAAAGATTTGAGACCCAATCCCGAGAGAGAGAGAGAGACGATTAATAATTGAAAAAATAAACAAAAAATTTCACTCCACAAGAACAAAACCAACTCATCTTATCATTGGGACATTAGACACCAACCCAATTTTAAAAAGTTTAAATTTTAATATTATTAGTGCAATATCAACAATAAAATAATGACACTACCGGAAAATTTTGACAACCGCTACCTGTAATTTTTAATCTTTTCCCGGCAGAAGCTTCTGTATCTTATGCTTCGAGTATAAATAAATTAAAATGATTTTTTTTGTGTGCCAACCATTCCTAGATAAACACGTGAGAGTATAGAAAACACCAAAGTGTTCTTTTTCGGATTAGGGATAATATTTTCTTTCGACGACTTTAACTTACAAATGAACGATTCCACACCAAAATGCGTTTTATCGATTATGTCCTTTCGACGACTTTGATTCATAGGATTACTTTACCGTATTTTTATGTTAACTAAATACAAAACAAACAAAAATTGGGTGAAGGCAATAAACGAATGGTAATATATAAATAGTGTTAATATATGCAAGAAAGGTTCAAAAAGAAAAGTATATTACCAACAAAAATTCTTAACTATTTACAAATTATAATAAAGTAAAGAATTTACAAGGATTGGTATTCTATCCTAGCCAAAAAAAAAATCTACAAAGGACATAACCACCATGGTATATATATAGGAAACAACCCTCATCGTGCGAAACTTTACGGAACTTTAACGACTTTTTTCTGATTTATGTACCTGCCACATCTTCTATAGTCTGGATTTGGATTCCAGATCTAATATGTTTTAAACAAAAATAATTGTTCTTAGTTCTTTGCTTTCATCACCATCATGAAGTTCGATAAATTAACTTCAAACATTTCTTGATTTATTCAGCTTTTAATTACTTTGTAATTTTTTGGTTTTGCTATAACGGATACCATACATGGTGGCGGAAATTAAACTCCATCAAATAAAACGTAGAAACGTTACTATAAGTAGAAACTTGAAATTACAAAACTGCCATTGAGAAGCTGGTTTAAGGAAGAAGATAAAACAAAGGTGGGTGGGTGTCTGTTCATTTGCTTAATTGAGGGATTAAATGACTTAACAACCAGTTGGTGAGTCCCTCCTTACTCTTCTGTTATACCCTTTTTTTTTCCTAAGTTGTTGTCTTTTTCAGAAAAAAAAAGTCCAGTTATAAAACCTTTAAGCTAGTTATACATATATATTCGATTTATTTTGTGTCTGCATTTGCATATTCCGTAATGCATTATACGTATATATAAATATTATTTTTGTAGCTACACACCATTGCCGACACAAAATCATTTGTGATGCAGCATTGTGTTGGAAAATTATACATAAGTTTGAGTCTTGGAGTTGGAGAGATGATTACTTTGACTTTGTTTCCACGTGTGTGTTGATTTATTAAAAATAAATATAGGCAGTTAGCTGGTGAGAGATGGATTAAATGTAATGAAATTTGAGATAGTTTTTTGTACTGTTATTAAAATGTTATGATTACGATTTTGTAAAACACGTATTATAGTTACGATGAGTTCTTAAAATAAGAATATAATACGATGACGATGATTCCATGAATACGAATAAAGATGATGCTAAATGAGGAAATGGTGTGAGTAAGAAACGAAGGACCTTTAATTAATTCTTGTCAACTGTCAAATCTACTATATTAGTTACATGAATATCCAATAACTTTATAGCAGTAATAGCCACAAGTTATGGCCGTCTAACGAAAAGCAAATGTATTTATTGCCACATACATTGTTGGACTACACGACGACGGATCATCGCCACTAAATTTCATGTTCGACTGTTTTGTATAATTATAGATTCAAGAGTTATTTACATTCAAAAACACTTTCAAGTTTAATTCTTACAAAAAAGACACTTATAGCTATTGGGTAATTTATTTTTTTGTTAATCCGAAATTGTCCTTCGTGGATGTGATAAGGTGGATGCGAACTAATAGATAGCAGATTAAAACCCAGATTTCAAAAACAGTAATTATCTTTTCCCATCTATTTTCTTTTGTATTTTTCTGTATTATGAAAAACATAAAATATTTTTTTTTGTTAGAATGAGTTATAATTTTATTTTCTCATTGTTTTAAGATCCATTATACTATAGTTTATTTATCAAACAAAAAAATTTCAAAAACATATGTATAAAACTTTTAAAAAAAATCAAAAGTCTAGGCAGATATCCACTTAGAAAATATGATGTGGATGATGCATAATGGACATATAACATGGACTTGAATGCGTGGATATGTTTTCATTGAGGTATCCACATATAAAATATGATGTGGATGATGCATAATGGATATATAACATGGATATGATTACGTGGATATGTTTTCATTGATATATTCAACATGGATATACATTTTACATTGTTTATAACCTATCCATATGATCCACGTCCACCTTATGGACAATGTAAAATGTATATCTATGTCGAATATATCAATGAAACATATCCACCCAATCATGTCCATGTTGTATATCCATTATACATCATCCACGTCATATTATCGGAGTGGATATCTACCTATACTTTTGATTTTTTAAAAAATTTTATACATATGTTTTTGAAATTTTTTTTGCTTGATAAATAAATTATAGTATAATGGATCTTAAAACAATGAGAAAATGAAATTATAACTCATTTTAATAAAAAAAATATTTATGTCTTTCACAATACAAGAAAATACAAAACAAAACAGATGGGAAAAACTAATAATTATTTTTAAATTTTAGTTTTAATCTACTATCCACTTCTTCGAATCCACCTTATCGTATCCACGTATCGTATTCACGAAGGGTAATTTCGGATTATTTAAGCGTAAACAGTGAAATAAATTACCCAATAGCTAAAAATTACTCTTTTTGTTATTTGAGTTATAAAAGTGTTTTTGAGTGTAATTATCTCTAGATTCAATTGATCGAAACTACTTATCAGGCCCAGATATAAAAGAAAAGGGCCAGCTGAGAAAAACGGCAAGCTTTTTGTTTCTAAATACTTCAAACGGCCTAAATTGCGAAGTTCTGTAAAGAGTTCACTGATTAGCGATTTACCAATCAAAGCTGTGACAGTGATCCATCTTGTTTCTACCAATTTTCCCTCTCGATTTCTTTTGGTTATCTACTTCGGAGAGAAGAGATCCTTTGAATTGCGAAGATCGATTGTGAACGTAGAAAGTGGAAACCCTAGGATGTGATTCTAGCTGGAGATAACCACCAATGGGGAAGCCGTCGACGAGTGTGTGGGTAACAATGCAGAAGAAGAGATGGCCTCTGATGATTCTGCTGGTTTTATCAGTCTCAACAGTGGGAATGATTCTCGTGAGATCTGCCTTTGATTCCTGTAGTGTCAGTGGAAAGAGATGCGGCCGATTTGTGGCGGAGAAGGAAGAGGTCAGTGACGTGAAGATCCGATCGGGTTCGGGATTGCCGAATCCTCTCGGTTTCATGAAATCGAAGCTCGTCCTGCTTGTCTCTCACGAACTCTCGCTCTCAGGTGATATTCTCGATCTTACTTTATCTCGAAGCGAACTCAGGGTTATTGAAGTGATGTAAGCTAGTGCGTGTGATTTAGGTGGACCTTTGCTGTTAATGGAACTGGCGTTTTTGTTGAGAGGAGTTGACGCTGAAGTTGCTTGGATCACGAATCAGAAACCAGTTAAAGCAGATGAGGTGATCAAGGTTTTGGAGCACAAGATGTTGGATCGAAGAGTGCAGGTTAAAATTAGCTCATTCGAAAAATTTAGATAGACCTTCATGATTGTTCTTTTATTCTGATCAATAAGTGTAGTGTTCAATCTATTGAATCGTTCAGGTCATCTCGGCAAAGAGTCAGAAAGCCATAGATACAGCTGTAAAGGCTGATTTGGTTGTTTTGAATACTGCTGTTGCTGGGAAATGGCTTGATGCAGTTCTCAAGGACAATGTTCCTAAAGTTCTTCCCAAGATACTCTGGTGGATTCATGAGATGAGAGGTCACTATTTCAAACCAGATTTAGTCAAGCACCTCCCTTTTGTTGCAGGCGCAATGATTGATTCGCATGCAACAGCTGAATACTGGAAGAATAGAACTCATGATCGCTTAGGGTCTGTTTCCTCTCTTTGCACTTCTTTTTAAAGTCAACTATGTAGAGTCTTGTGACATTTCAGTTTGCTCTCAGCTGACTTTTTCTTATCTCGTTTTTGACATCAATGTGTTCTCTTCAACTGTTGTAACACAGGATTAAAATGCCTAAAACTTATGTCGTGCACCTAGGAAATAGCAAGGAGCTGATGGAAGTAGCTGAAGATAGTTTTGCCAAGAGAGTTCTCCGTGAGCAAGTTCGAGAATCTCTTGGTGTGCAGGATGAAGACATACTATTTGGCATAATTAATAGTAAGCTATCTCTTACATTCTTCTTGTTTTAATAGTTTCTTCGATAGCATCATCTTAAAAACCAAGAATTTACTTAATTTGCTTTTGCCGGTTGCTTCACTTATTGCAGGTGTATCGCGAGGGAAGGGCCAAGACCTATTCCTCCGAGCCTTCCATGAGAGTCTTAAAATAATCAAAGAGGCGAAAAAGCTTCAGGTTCCAACAATGCATGCAGTAGTAGTAGGAAGCGACATGAGCGCACAGACGAAATTTGAGACAGAGCTACGCAACTTTGTACAAGAGAAGAAACTTCAGAGAATCGTCCACTTTGTCAACAAAACAATGAACGTAGCACCATATCTAGCAGCAATTGACGTTCTTGTCCAAAACTCCCAAGCCAGAGGAGAATGCTTCGGGAGAATAACAATCGAAGCCATGGCCTTTAAGCTTCCTGTACTCGGTACTGCAGCAGGAGGAACCATGGAGATTGTAGTGAACAGAACAACTGGTCTATTACACAACACCGGTAAAAATGGCGTCTTACCTCTTGCCGAAAACATTGTGAAGCTGGCAACAAACACGGAGATGAGGACGACAATGGGGAAGAAAGGGTATGAGAGGGTAAAAGAGATGTTTTTGGAACATCATATGTCACATCGAATAGCTTCTGTGCTCAGAGAAGTGTTGCAACAC